CCCCCAAGGTTTAGTTCTGGGCTTCCTGGTAGCCATGGCAAAAAGGCAAATACTCTCCTTTCCTTAGGCAGGTTCCTGACTACAGCAGAGGCTGGGACCCTGTGAGCTGCTTTGATTTTACTAAAGAGCCAAGAGAACATGTCAGAAGCCTACGGGTTTGCCATGGAGGCTGCAGGAATCTAGTTTTTTATTCTCTTCAGAGATCCCCAAAATGTGATTTTCAAGGTCATTGAATTTTGAAGTACATAAATCTTGTCCCTGAGACCTATATATTCTATTGGGAGGGAATAGATTGGAATTTGTGGAGAGGATGCTCTTGACCTTGGAAGGCAGGTAGGCCGGGATTCCTGAGACTTTGGAGGAAATGACTGAGCATCCAGACCTGGGAGCGAGGAGTTGGAGAGGGGTAATGGAGTCCCAACATTGCTTGGGGGAACAATGGATTTTGAAATGCTAGGGAACATATTCGAGGAGACTACTGAAACTTCACTTTCTGGATCTGGGGGGCTCTAGAATTGAAATGGGTACCCCAAGATTTTATTATGAGAGGAACAATCGATTCGGGGACCTCAGTCATTCTGAAAGCCAAAGCTTATATTTCAGGGGGATCTGGAAGCCGAGAAGCTGGCATCTTGACTCTGAGCAGTGCGAAGAGAAGGGAATTAGAGCCCCACTGTGGGCATTTGAGGGTACACTGGGTCTTGGGGTATGCGGCCTTACTTGGGATATGGGGCTTTGTATTGGAGGGTCAGTGATTCCTCCACCCTCCTGCTTCTGTTCCCACTCACTCCCCCTCCTACCCTTGTTACCAGCAAGATGAGGAGACCCTGGCTCATGTCATCTTGAAGATTGCAGTCGAGACGAAGTGCAGCAAAGCAAGCAGAATGTATTGGCCGCAGCAAATCACACGCAGATGGGACATTTATTAAAGCTGGGGACAGTGAAACCAGGAGGGGCTTAGCATAGAGGAAGCAACAGGAGAGCCGAGGCTGGACTGCTTCGGTTCCCTGGGAAGTCAGAGCAAAGGGGGCCTTGGAGACAGGTTCAGGGGGTTAGCTCGGGACGCACTGCCGCTGCCCATTGCTCCCCTGGTTGCAAGTCTTGTGGGGGGTCCCTTAGAGTTTAAGAGATGCCTGCCTGTGCGGGAAGAGGAGGAGGTGTGGGTGTGCTCCCCAGAGAGAGAGCCCGAGCGCTGGGTCCCGTCAGAGGGCTCTTATTCCTCTCGTGCAGGTGGGCATCTTAGGGGAGGTCTCAGGGGAGGGTTTCAGCAGAATATCCACGGGCTTTCCAGCGCGCTCTTTCAGGGCCCTGGCTCCACAGGTCGGCCAGCCCCAGGTCAGGGGTCACTAGCCACTGCAGCTGGTCCTGAGGCAGTCAAGGCATCACTTGTGTGGTTTTGCTGCTTTTCTGGGCCTGGAGCTGAAACACAACTGAGGCCTAGATGTTGTCCCCGGGGAGGAAAGTTTACGCTGGGGACAAGGCAGACACCCTGTGCTTTCCACCCTGGTGACCTTCGATACCTGGCCCATCGTCTTTGTTCTGCTCTTGCCTGTCTGGCTGCCTATCACATCCTCACTGGCTCTGGCCGCAAGAGCAAGGCCTGGAGCCTGGCCCTGCCCCGACCGGCCCCCACCCAAGGACGGCTTCCAGGGCAGGAGCGAGGCCTGCGAGCAGCAGGTGCTCATTCTCCCGTCCCTGCCACAGCTCAGGGCGGGAGGGGTGCCCACCCCGGCAGCAGGGCAGAGCCCTGGCCAGCCTGGGGCACCAGCAGGGCAGGGGCGGGGCCCGGGGCTTTAAAGGCTCCTGGGGGAGGCCCTCCTAGCTCACCACCTGCCTGCCCCTGGACACCTCTGCCACCATGTGGTTCCTGGCCCTGTGCCTTGCCCTGGCCCTGGCCGGTACTGGTAAGACAGCGGGGACAGTGTGGGAGGGGAGCGGGCCCTGACTCTCAGGCTGCCTTCACCCCCCAATATAATTAATATAATAATATAATAGTCCTTTCCCTCCCACCCAGCACCCCAGCCTGTGCCCCTCCAGCCCATAGTCCACCCCAGACCAGGGCACCGGGCTCCCTCCCATCTCTCCCAGTCCTCCCCCCTTCTTACCTTCTCCACAGCCCTCGCTCCCACACTAGGTCCTGCTCCCTCCCAGGAACCCCCTGGACTTTCTACTGGCCCCCACTCAGGTCCCGCCCCCAACCCCTTTACCAAGGGGGCATCCTGGCCCATCTCAGTCTCTCTCTTTGGGGGACTCCATCTCTTCCAAGGAGCCCCCCATGCCACCCAATCCTGGGACCCTGACCACCCCCTCTTACCCCTCTAGATCCTTATGGCCCAATGGCTTGGCTCCTGAGTCCCCAAATTCTACTATTCCCTGGATACTTTTCCCATCCAGCTGTCAGCTCTCAGCCAGGTCCTCCATTCCCTGGCATCTGGTCCCCCAATCCTCCCAGGACCCCCCAAGTTCCATCAGACACCTCCACTTCTTCCAAAACAGACCTTCTGGTCCATGACCAGGTGGGCACCCCATCCTGCTGTGGGGGTTCTCTGACTGCCTCTTTCTTCCCCGATACTTTGCCCTGGGACTCCCATGCAGCTCCCCAGCCACATGCCCCTTCCCTGTAGGACCTCCACCCTTCCTCCAGCTGCGGCCCTTCCCCACCTGGTTCCCCCCTTACAGCAGCACAGCTCTGGTTTTCTGGGATGAAACCCTCCCCGGCATCCCAAATGCCTTCCCTGCCCAGCTGTCCTGCCTCACCTCCCCCAAGCACCCCAACATGGGATTCAGAAACCCCACATCATGTGGGTCCTTCCTGCATTCCCACAGTTGCTTGGCCCCTGGTGTACCTCTTTCTCCATTCCTGTCCTGGCATCGCTCCCAAGGGACCCCAGGTCCCCCAGTACCCGCTGTGACCCCATCTCCATAGACTCGCCCTATCCCAGAATGACTATCACTGGCTCTCCCTCCTTTTGAGCCCACTCCTGACCCCAACCCTCTCTGGGGGCCACCTGCTATCTTAGAATGCCATCCCCTGTTCACAGGGCCCCAAACCCTACAGGATGCCTCTCCCAGCCAGACCCTCACTGCCACTCTTTGCCTGGAACCCTGAATTCTCCCAGCCAGGAAGCCCTACCACCCCAAATTCCCCAGGCTCTCTTCTCGGCCTCTCAGAACTGATTCCCCAGGATTCCCCAAATCCACATCCTTCCCAGAAGCCCCAGAAGCCCAATCCCCCAAAAGGCCCCAACCATTTCGCCAGCCGGGAAGCCCCTTACCCCTCCAAATCCTTCCTCCCCAGCCTCTGAACTGCTCACTCTTGTTTTTTTGCTCGTTTGTTTTTTGTTAATCTTCACTGGAGGATATTTATCCATTGAGCATGGAAGGGAGAGAGAGAAACATCGATGTGAGAGAGACACATCCGTTGGTTGCCTCCAGAACGTGCCCTGACCAGGGCTGGGGAATGGAACCTGCAACCCAGGTGCATGCCCTTGACCGGGAATTGAACTCGACACCCTTCCGTTTGTGGGTCAACACTCTAACCACTGAGCCAAAATGGCCAGGGCTGAGCAGCTTTTTTTTTTTTTTTTTTTAATATATCTTTATTGATTTCAGAGAGAGGAAGGAAGAGGGAGAGAGGGAGAGGGAGGGGGAGGGGGGGAGAGAGAGAGAGAGAGAGAGAGACATCAATGATGAGTCATTGATCGGCTGCCTCCTGCTGGCCCCGACTGGGGATGGAGCCGTGTGCCCTGACGGGAATCAAATCTCGATCTCCTGGATCCTAGATCAATGCTCAATCGCTGAGCCACGCCTGGCCGGGCCTGAGCAGCTCCCTTGAGATGTGTAACCTTGGTTTCCCCTCTGAGAACCCACAGCCTCTTGTCCCCAAGTCCAAGACCCCAAGTCATCCCCACAAAGCCCAACCCCCACACCCGATGGGTCCGGCTGGCTCTGCTCTCAACATGACGTCTCCCCACCCAGGACCAGCCCCCAACCCGCAGTCTCAGAGCCTTCAGAATTCTGGGCCATTCCCAACACCCTCTGCCCTTGTCCTCAGATCCTGGTCCTCTGTCCTCATGCCCCTATGTGTCCATAACCCGCTCCCTCCCCTAGTCCAGTCCCCTGGGCCCACTGCCACCTCCACCAGCCTTGACTCAGCACCCCCTCCGCAGGTGCTGCTCCCCCCATCCAGTCCCGGATTGTGGGAGGCTGGGATTGTGAGGACCCCCAACCCTGGCAGGTGGCCGTGTACCATTACAACCGCTTCGAGTGCGGGGGCGTCCTGGTGGACCCCCAGTGGGTGCTCACGGCTGCGCACTGCATAAGCGAGTGAGTAGGGGCAGAGGATGGGGGGGCCTCTACCTACTGTCCCCTCAGATGACCTTGGGGGAGGCTGGGGTCCCGAAGCAGAAAGGAAAGGTTGTAGTCCAGGGTCACAAGGAGAGAGGCAGGGAGGGCTGGGATGGGGGACCCCAGGGAAGCCCTCCCATGGCTGCCTGAGTCTGTCTCTGTCTTCCTCTGCCCTGCTCTGTCTCTTGGTAACTGGCTCTGTGTTCTCTCTCTCTGTGACTGTGGTTCTGTCTCTATCTCCCTCTCTTCTGTCTCCATGTCTCTGTCTCTCCCTGTCTCTGTCCATCTGTCACTGTATGTCTCACCCTCCAGCTTCCTACTGACTCTCTCTCTGGGCCTCTGCCTCCTTCTCCCCATCACTACTGCGTACCCCCCCAGGATGGAACTGAAGGGGACCCCCAGAAAAAAGGGAGGGTTGTCCCCAATATTTGTGTGAGGGGGCTCCTCACACTGCCCAGCCCCACCCTCCAGGATACTCCACCAGCTCCAGCGCCACGCACAGGGAAGGGCTGGTGTCAGCGGGAGCCCAGAGGACTGTGGAGGGAGGAGGGAGAAGTGAGAAAGGGAAGGAAGGGAAGGGTGCTGGGGGGGGGACGCTGACCTTGGGCTGGGGGCCAGGCCACCTGCCCGCTGGGGAACCAGCCCCACAGCCCCAGCTGCAGCTGAGCCAGTCGCAGGCCCCTCCTCCCCACCTGCCCCCCCACTGCCTTTTGCCTTGCCCTGTCACCCCCTGGCCGCCTCGGCCCCCATTTCTCTCCTCCCCCCTCACTTGCTCAGTTTGTCCATCTCTCACTCTCTGCCCTCACTGTGCCCTCACTCCCGCTTCCCCTGCGGTCTCTCCCTGGCTCTCCCTCTGCTCCCCCTCTGCATTCTCACTCCCGCACCTTTCTTTAACCTCCCTCCCTCCCTCTCTGTCCCTTCGCCACCCGGGTGCAAGGTGGCACTCTCGCCTCCTCGGTGTGTTTCTCCACGATTCTGAATCTTCCATGCACGCTTAGCTTTTCCCCTGGTCTCTCCCTCTCCTGGGACCGGCCCGTCGCCCTCTCCCCCTGCTCTCTCCTCAACCCCTTCGTCACTCTCTCCCCAGCAATTACCAGCTCTGGCTGGGTCGCCACAACCTGTTTGATCAAGAAGACACAGCACAGTACGTCCAGGTCAGTAAGAGCTTCCCACACCCTCAGTTTAACCTGAGCCTCCTGAAGAACCACACCGTCCACCCAGGGGAGGACTACAGCTACGACCTCATGCTGCTCCGCCTGGTGGAGCCCGCGGAGATCACTGACACCGTGAAGGTCGTGGAGCTGCCCACCCAGGCACCCCAGCTGGGGAGCACCTGCTTCGCCTCTGGCTGGGGCACCATCCAATCCTATCCAAGTACGCCAGCCTGGAGGCCGGGCGCCTGGGGGTCGGGAGGAGGGGGCCGGGACCGGCCTCTGGAGCCTGAGGGAGGAGGGCTGAGGAGCCACGTGGCAGGGGCCACAGCCATGTTTCTTCCTGGCCCGTAGTGGAGTTCCCAGATGAGCTCCAGTGTGTGGACCTCAAAATCCTGCCCAACGATGTGTGTGCCAAAGCCCACCCAGAGAAGGTGACAGATGTCATGTTGTGTGCTGGACAACTGAAGGGTGGCAAGGACACCTGCTTGGTGAGCGGATCTCTTCCCCCCCCCAGGGCCTCAGAGTGCTGGGGGAGGGGACTCGGATTCTGGGCTGGGGTTCAGACTATCCAGGCGCATGTCTCTGAGGCCGCCCAGATGTGGCAGCCCCCCAGTGCCTCAGCTCCCTCCCCGCCCTTTCCTTTCCACATCCACATCCACATCTCGGTCCTCCCCATCATAGTTCACCCCTTCCTCCCGCTAGCACATATTCATAGGCCAGTCCCAGACCGCTCCTTGGGAGAGGTGACACCTGAGATGAGCCCTGGGGTGGGAGGCTCCTGTAGGTGGATCCTGCCCCTCCTTCCTGCAGGGACTGTCCTCCTGCCTGGGCCCTGGCCCCCATACACAGAAACTGGGCCCTGATGTCCCATCTGCATTGGCTGCTGCTGGACCCACTGTCCTCTCTATTGGAATCCTGCCCACCTTCTCCTGGGAGTGGACCGGGGGACCATAGTGTCTTTCCGCACAGCTGGACACAGGTCTGCAGACAGGGCCCGGAGCCTCAGCGACCTCACTCTCTCCCCCTCGCCCCCTTCTGTAGGGTGACTCAGGGGGCCCGCTGATCTGCGACGGTGAACTTCAAGGAATCACGTCCTGGGGCCACATCCCGTGTGGCCTGCCCAATATGCCCGGCGTCTTCACCAGAATTCTGCCCCTCGTGGACTGGATCAAGGAGACCATGGCAGCCAATGCCTGAATGTCCCCGCCCTGTCCCTGACCCCCAGTAAAACCAAATGTGCATCAAATTCCCACCGAGTTCTGGCGTCATCCGGCGCAGGGGCAGGGGCAGGACAGGGGCAGACTGACCGGCAGAGGCCGAGGCAGGGACTCGAGACCCGCGCGCGCCGGCCGGGCCCAGGGAGCGGACGCTGGGGGTCGCGCTGGAGAGGCTGGGCCGGGTTTATTGGGACGGGGCGGCCGGGAAGGGCGGGCGGAGCTCCCGCAGGCCAC